AGATCACGTGGGATTTCAGACATGGTGTCAAAGAGAAAGATGCTCAGTATGCTTTGAAATTTCATCATGAATAGACTTACTAACGAGCAACGCTTGCAAATCATTGAATTTTATTACCAAAATCAGTGTTCGGTTCGAACAAATCGGAATCGACAAATTTTGTTCAGCGATGAGGCTCATTTCTGGTTGAATGGCTTCGTAAATAAGCAAAATTGCCGCATTTGGAGTGAAGAGCAACCAGAAGCCGTTCAAGAACTGCCCATGCATCCCGAAAAATGCACTGTTTGGTGTGGTTTGTACGCTGGTGGAATCATTGGACCGTATTTTTTCAAAGATGCTGTTGGACGCAACGTTACGGTGAATGGCGATCGCTACCGTTCGATGCTAACAAACTTTTTGTTGCCAAAAATGGAAGAACTGAACTTGGTTGACATGTGGTTTCAACAAGATGGCGCTACATGCCACACAGCTCGCGATTCTATGGCCATTTTGAGGGAAAACTTCGGAGAACAATTCATCTCAAGAAATGGACCGGTAAGTTGGCCACCAAGATCATGCGATTTGACGCCTTTAGACTATTTTTTGTGGGGCTACGTCAAGTCTAAAGTCTACAGAAATAAGCCAGCAACTATTCCAGCTTTGGAAGACAACATTTCCGAAGAAATTCGGGCTATTCCGGCCGAAATGCTCGAAAAAGTTGCCCAAAATTGGACTTTCCGAATGGACCACCTAAGACGCAGCCGCGGTCAACATTTAAATGAAATTATCTTCAAAAAGTAAATGTCATGGACCAATCTAACGTTTCAAATAAAGAACCGATGAGATTTTGCAAATTTTATGCGTTTTTTTAAAAAAAAAAATTTTCAAGCTCTTAAAAAATCACCCGTTACGTACATACGCTTATGCATACATATGTATGTATATTTTTACATCAAATACGTAGGAAAGTACACCGCCAACGGGCAAACGGGATGCCATGAGCTGAGTGGGAGGCAACGCTGAAAGATATTGGCATAATAAGCAGTGTTAGCTGCCGGTTTTGAGCAAATACCAAATTACTCGAATTTTCATCAGCTAAAATATAGCTACTGTCGGTGTTGTGTAGTGGTTAGCAGAGCGCGCTAGCACTCCGCCCTTGTCACAGAAACACCGGAAAAAAATATGGAAAAGAGGCTTTTTCTTAACACCGGTCGCCCCTCGGCAGGCAATGGCAAACCTCCGAGTATATTTCTGCCATGAAAAATAGCTTCTCATAAAAATACAAACGGCCTTCGGAGTCGGCGTAAAACTATAGGTACCTCAACTTTGTGTGACAACATCAAAACGCACGCCACAAGTCGGAGGAGAATTTCGGCCAAACACTAATATATTAGTAAGCGTCAATCTATTAATGTTAATAAGGCTATGATCCTGTAGTCCTCATTTTCACCGGACGTTCGTTGAGCTGGCACAAGGCTCATCTATCGTAAAGTAATTTATTTAATTAATTAATTTTCTGGTTAAAAAGATTAGCCAGTGCAGTTATCCACATAGACCATAAGTAGGATGCACAGTGGTTCGAATCGATAATCTAGCTGGACGAAACTATTTAATCAAATCCAAATTCATTTAGCAAAAATTCAAAAGGACGGATCCAATGGGGCGGATGATACATTTTTTGACGACTACAAATTATTAAAAGTTTAATAATATTTCTGGAGAAAACTTATTGTTAAAAGATTGTTTATGATTATATATTTGCCATTATATTAAGATTTTTGTTTTATTTTCAACTCATAATAACAATGTCTAAATATTTTTTAAGCTCAACCCAGAATTATAGCAGATGACGGTAACGTGATTGGCGGTAAGTAAACGCTGTTCAGTTGCCTCAATGAAAGCCGTTCGAATTTACACAATTGGGGCGGCTTCTATCAGCTATCATTTTGATTTAGAAATTATCATTAAAG